ATGAGGTTTTCCCGGATATTGGTTGGGCACTCTTTTAGTGAGGCAATGTCACAAAGACAAAGTGTTGGGGAGCCCTCTCTAATGAGACCAGTCAGATGTCAGTTTGGTCGTGTCCCAAAAGAACTTAAGGGATGCTTAGCTGTAGTGGTCTCAGCTCTGGAAACTATTCCGATGCCACCATAGACTGTATGCCGTTTACCACAAAATCGCAGACAGGCACAGTCAAGACTCCATAGGCTTTTTGGGACCTTAAGGGTGCCCACCCGTGGAGCCACAGAATCAAACCCAGCAGGCAAGCCAGACCGAATTGCATATTCACATCTATATATATATACTAGAGGTTACTATATTCCCTCTCACAGAAATTCTACAGATAAGACTAACAAGGACAATGACAAACAGGACAAAACAGATACAGAAGTGGCCACAAAACAGGTTTAGGAGTTTGCTGAAAGGCCAACCGACGTTTCGGTGTGCCCTGGGGGAGAGAAATAGCTGCGTCCAGCTTTTCATTTAATCCCCCAGACAGAAGCACAAGTGCATTTAAGGATCCAGATAAGTTGATTTACCTCATTTTTTCTTAATAACAAAAATGGGAGTGCTCAAGGAACTTGAGCAGTGGCCACTAGTTTTCCAACGGAATGATTACAGAAGCCCCCATGGGAGAGAGAAGATAAGTATTTGTGCTATACGTTCTCCAGCCAATAGTGAAAGTTTAACAGAAGTAGAAACCATAATTAAAATTTCTCCAACAAAATCAGAGTCTTTAACTCCAGGAATTATGGTTAGGCCTCTTAAAACTGCGCTGCTGCGGCCCAATATTAAGCCAAAGGTTCCTTTAGGCAATGAGCCAAATGTTTGTCCTTAATTTATAAATGCCACCTCCCTGAGACAAAAGAACATTTTCAGCGAGAGGTAAATCAGCAGCCGCACTCCCTGAAGTTGCAGAGCGTAAATCTGACACCATTAAAGGTTTAGCTATCCCTGATGTAGCAGTCATCTCTAAGGGTTGTTGAAAAACAAAGGGGTTACTTGAGGAGTGGGAGGCGTAGCCATTGAGTCCCCAGCATTGTTTTAACAATTTCCACCCTTGGAGGGCTTCATAGCCTGAGCCAAAGCACTAGCAAAAACAGCATTATGTTCAGTTCCTCCCACTCCCGAACAAGCTCTAATATACTCAGCTATAGAAGCTCCCTGCCCTTTTAAAGGGCCCAAAACACGTTTGCATTCCGAGTTTGCATTTTCAAAAGCCAAGTGTCTGCAAAAGTATCTCCGAGATTTCATCACGTCCAACATCCCGCTCAACAGCCACACCCGCAATCTAGCAAGAAAATCAGTATAGGGTTCATTGGGTCCTTGTAAAGTTTTTGTAAAAAAAGGCTGAGCGTGGCCAGTAGGTACAACACAATGCCAAGCCCTAAGAAATACCTGGCGCACCTGCTGTAAATCTGGTCAGAAAATTGAGCCTGTTCTCTCAAGGCTCGAAATTGTCTCTCTCCCATCAATTTATCCTCCAGAGCACCAGGAGGGTTCTGTCCCTCATTAATTTGAGCCTGCTTTCGGGCTTCCTCTTCCCACCAACTCCTTAATTGCAGAAAGCAATGCAAGTGCTTGAGTGATAGCACTACATAGAGTCCACAATTTCAAAGGGATTATGTTACCCTGCTGATGCTGTTGCTGTAATTCCGTCTGTATTAATTTCCATTCCTTGAAGTTTAATTGTACTTTGGGTTGGCACTTAAACCCATAACAATGCTGCTCCACAAGGCAAAATAACTCAGATAAACAGCGACTAGATGCCTTCACCCCTATGGAGTGGAGAAGTCCTTTGACTAGCTCCATGTATTGTGCCTTTGCTGATGGGGAATTCCCCATAATTTTCCCGAAAGTTCCCCTGCCTTGGACCTACAATCCCTGAGGGGTACTCACCCTTTTCAGTTTCGTTCGCCCTCTGCCCCGCGTTTGGGCGCCAGATGTTGCGGACAAAATGACACAAAGGACAAGACACACACAAAAGACAGACACAGACACAACTCCGGCCGGAGGAACAATTCTATGCCCCTCTTGCGGTTTATTTTACACCCGGTAACTGGAGACAAACTGAAATCTACAAGATGCATTTCTTTACCAATTAAGGGCAAGTAGCCCAACACATTTCAAGGGCAGGGGGGAGCAAAGGGAGGAAGCGACCACAACATGTTTACTCAGAGGCCTGCTCTCAATTTCAGCCTCCTCCTTATTTCTAAGGAGGGCTTGTTCCCTCGTTTGCGAGTGGACCATTAAACTTGGATATTGTGTGCAGGCCTCCTGGCAGAGCATCCTGTTTGCAGGCATGCTTTGCCCAGGCAGGGAGCCCCGTGTGCAGGCACATCCCCACGTCCCTAACCACGCTTTCTTGTGGTCACTGTCGGGCTCCCACACTTAAATGCTCCGTGGCCACCATGAACTTCCCATGGACATGACTATCGTTTATTCACCCCAGTCCCAAGCATCTTCCGTACAGCCCGTTACCAGCAAGATCAATAAGAGACGTTGGATTTAATTATAAAACCCTTTTCTCCTACATGCCTGGCACCACTGCCCTTTCACAGCCTCCGCGGATTTTCTGATAGCTCTGATATCCTTCTTAGCCATCACATCATCTGCATACTCTTGTGCCCTAGGACTATGTTGGAAGACATCTGAACGATAAGGACACGTGCACAAGATTCCAATTGCCAATTGCGGAGTCCCAGAAGGCAGGTCTGACCTTGGAACAGCCGGGGGTAAAGGCCCCAGGGACTCCAAACAGCACTCCCTTCTTGCCCTTGAACAGCTCTGCCAGGTTCACCTTGTTCCCAGGCTCCCCTTCGAAAACCACCACCGAAGGGATGGCGTCTCCCACCTAGAGGGAACGATTTGGTCAGGAGTTAGCTGGTTACTTGGTAAGTTACTGGGTGAAACAGACTAGACAAGGAGGGAAGCAGTTGGGGAATGAGGGGGTGGGTAAGGAGGCCACGGGACAGGGGGTAAACCAGACCTGGAAATTGCTCCTGGTGGAGCCGAGTTGATAAGAGTTCCTGGATCCAACCCATCGAAGCTTCCAGAGGTCCCTCCCTGCTACCCTCCCCTCTCCCACCACGGCCGGCTACTCTGCAGCCTCCAGGTTTCAAGGTGGCCCTATTTCTTTTGCCATCCTGTTGGCGACAACAGAAAAAGGGAGAGGAGGCCTCTCTGGGTGTTGCAAGGGATTGAGTAAATAACCCACTTTTCTGACCAGAAAGAAGTGGGATAAATGGGCAGGGGAGGAGGGACAGGGACTCCACGGAGGAAGGGGTGAGGAAGAGACCCTGACAACAGGGAGAGGACCCTGGCCAGGTCTGAGCATGCATCCCTCAGGAAGAGAAAAAGGGAGGGCAGCAGAAGATTGGAAAGTTGCCGTGGAGGCTGAGGGGGAACAGGTGGGGGAGGGGGCGCACGTTGGGAGAGGAGTATTAAATATCTCAGCGGCTGCCTGGGTGGCTCAGTTGGTTAAGTGTGGGGGACTCCTGACTTAGGCTCAGGGCTTGATCTCAGGGGTTGTGAGTTTCAGGGACCCCCCCCACGCCCCCCCTCCCCAGGGCATCATGCTCAAAGTGTGGAGCCTGCTTAGGGATTCGCTCTCTCTCAAAAATAAATAAGCAAGCTTTTTTTTTTTTTTAAAGGAATCTTTCAAAAGGGATGGTGGATCAGTCTACTTGGGAGTGTGTGAGGGCTTCATGGAGCCAGAGGAGGCAAGCAAAAGTAGGGCACGTCAGGGGTTGGGAGGAAAATTAAGCAGGAGGAGGAGGAGGAGGTCTCAGAAGAGAGTGGGAGGGGAAGGGGGTGGTTGCAAGGAGCAGGGGATGGGTCCAGATGAGGGGGTGAAAGACTCGGCAGAAGGGTGGTTATCAGCCACGGGAGAAGTGGAATGGGGGAGGCACAGTAGTGTCTTTCAGAGAAAACACTTGTTTCAAACGATGGGGTGAAGAACGAAGCCCAGCAACATAACAAAAACGTTCAAGAGGGTGTGGAGGGGACATGTATGGCGGCTGAAAGGAGGCCCTGAGCAAAGGAGATGGTTCCAGAAGGCGCAGGAGGCCACGGTAGTCAATCACTTGAACACAGTGGAGACCCATCACAGAATGTCGCAGGGTGGAAGTGAGAAGGGGATGGGGGGGGGGGGGGAACGGGGCATACACGGGGTCTCGCTGAGGGGATGAGGGAGAAGTGAAGGAAGAGAGTTCAGCGCGGCGGGCAGCGGTCCGGAGGGCAGGAAAGAGGGGGATTCTCCTCCCGACCGGCGGGACGGAGAACACTGGGAAGACGGGCGGCAGGGGAGGTCAGGCAGAGCCCGGCGAGCGGTCACCTTGATTGGGGCCATAGCTGAGGCGGCGCTTCTGAAACCAGAGGTCCCTCCAAGCGTCCACTCCCCTCCTCGTTGACGGCACCCTCCTGCTCTCGCCGCCCACGAAGCAGTCGCCCGGACGAGAGCTGAGCCCGCCCTGCCACCCAGAAGACGCAGCCTAGCCAACTGCATGCTCATGCCAGCGGGCACAGCCGCTCCGCCCCCTAGTCCGAGCCGCGGCAGGAGGCGGGGCCTGGCGCTAGATGCCTCCCTGGGACCCCGCGAGAGGAGGAGCCTTGGCTTCGCCCGCCCCCGGCGAGGCTCCTCCACTGCGCAGGCGTAGGGGCCCGTGCAGGGGCGGAGCCTCCGGGATGCTCGGCGTATTTACATTTGGGGCTGGACCACTGGCGCAGGAGCAAATGGGCGGAGATTCCGGCAGCCGCGCAATTTATTTGCATACAAGGGCGGGGTTGTCGCTGTTTTGATGCGCCTAATTTACGGATTCCTGCAGCGTTTCTTTTCCTTAAGCCGGAATTGAGGGGCGGGAGACGATGGTGTCAGGTGCCAGCGTAGGAGAAAAACATGTTTATTTTGCATTCAACGAATACCCCTGCATTGCGGCTGCTTTACATGTGATTTACACTATGCATGATTTGTAGCGAATGGAAACCACTGGGCCTGCGCCGTAGCCATCTCCTGCCGAGACGCTTCCGGTAGCGGCGCGTGATTCGAGCAAGCTTTTTCCAACGCCTCTCCGGCCAGCACGAGAAGTTCCAGCACGTCCGTCACTTCCGCTCCTCCAAGCCGTCCAATAGGACAGAGACTGGAGCGGCCCCGGAAGTGCTGCCACGGAGTTTCTAATTTCTTCCGGCGCCGGCCTGGGGAGAGCTCGTTTTGGCGACATGAAGCTGCTCACCCACAACCTGCTGAGCTCGCATGTGCGGGGGGTGGGGCCCCGTGGCTTCCCTCTGCGCCTCCAGGTATCGGCCGGGGGGCAGTCTCGCGCCCGCCTCCTGGGGGGGACCAGGCTTCGGCCCCTGCCTAACAAAACCCCTCCGCCCCGCAGGCCACCGAGGTCCGCATCAACCCCGTGGAGTTCAACCCCGAATTCGTGGCGCGTATGATTCCCAAGGTGGAGTGGGCGGCGCTCCTGGAGGCGGCGGATACCGTGAGGACCCTCCCCCATGCCCGTGCTCGCCCTGAGTGTGTGTGGGTGGGGGAAGGGGTTGGTCTCCCCGCAGGCCAGAGAGCCTGGCAGGGGTCGGCATGCCCAGAGGTGATTTAGGCCTTTGCCCGCAGTTGCACCTGGTCGAGGTACCCACTGAGCCGATTGAAGGGTATGAGCATGACGAGAAGTTTCTGAGGAGGATGCACCACGTGCTGCTAGAGGTGAGACGCCCGGCGCCCGGTTCCCTGGCCACTCGGGCGGAGGCTGTGGGTGCTCAGCTCTGTTCCCCGCTTCCCCGCAGGTGGATGTGTTGGAGGGCACCCTGCAGTGCCCCGAGTCCGGACGTCTGTTTCCCATCAGTCGTGGGATCCCCAACATGCTGCTGAGCGATGAGGAAACCGAGACTTAGTCGTGCCAGTCGCCAGCTTTTCGTTCTATAACCGTGTAGATCTTTTGCTTACGATGTTTTTCTGTTATCAAGGTCATATATCTCCCCAACCCTTGACCCAGTGATACACGCGAAACACAGTGTTCTTGAGCTCGATATATTTTTTTTTCTCATTAAAGGTTCAAAACCAAAAGCGGTTTCTCTTTGCAGCAAATATACATTAAAATAGAGTCTCTGTACAGCCAAGGGCTCTGGGCCCTGGCTTGCCCTATGTCCCTGCACCTCCCTGGCCAAACCCAAAAATAAATATAGTGTTATTGCTCTGCAGGGCATAGAGGCAGTGCTCTCCCTACCCCCTGAGGAGGCCGGGTGGGAGCTGATGGGGGAGGGGGGCCCTGGCCACCCCAGGGGTCCAGGGGCTGGAGCCTGCTTGGAGTTATTGCTTCAAGGGGGGGCAGTAATGCCCAATGCAAATGACGAGAGGAGAGGAGCGAAGGGGGCAGGGGCCTTTGCTCTCCAAATCCCCCTCTGCTCTGGAGAGGGGGTTGGATTAAGCAGCAGCAAAAGCATCACCCACTGGGAGACTGTGGCCTCCACTCCCTTCCCTCCCTGAGATCAGGCTTCTGCTCCTCCCCCCCCACGTCCCCTGCAGCCCCCTATGGCTTCCGCAAGGCCCCCTTACGCTCTGGGGGCACGTTATGGCTTGCAAGGGGCAGCACTGTGCCCAGAGCCTGGACACACACAGTTCCCAGCTTCTGAGACCCCCTGGGAGGGGGGAGGGGAGGGCGTAGGGCCTGCTCCCAGGGGCTGATAGTGTTGCCCTGGCCCTGCCAGCAGGCTGTGGCACCGCCCAGACCCCAGCGCGGCCCCCCTTGGGGCTGACCCCACACGGGGCGGGTCCTGCCAGCACCCCCACCCACGCCCACCCCTTGCCTCAGTCCATCATGGCCTCGAGCATCTCCAAGAACAACTTGTGCATGGGCACCTTGCCCTCCAGCTTCACCCCATAGAAATGGGCCAGCACTTTGCCCGCCGTCTGGCGAAGGAGCGGCAGCGTGAGCAGCAGCCTGCCCGCCCGCCGCCGCTCAGCGCCCCCTCCGGGGCCTGCCCGGCCTGCCTCGTACTCCAGCAGGGCCTCGTGTAGAGCTTCTCGCAGCTGCTCCACGGCCTCAGCGTCCTCAATGTGCACAGAGTCTGCAAGGCGGGAGGGGGGGAAGGGGGGGGGTGTCGCAGCTGACACGGGTAGTTTCCAGGAAGGCCCAAGCCAACACCTGCACTGGGGACCCTTACTTGCTTGGGGCCTGAGAAGCCAGGCAAAGATTTGAGTGGCTGACTGGGGCACCAACTCCCTGCTCCTGCCCATGAGCCAGGGCCCATGTCCCCCCCACCTTCCCTCCCACTAAATGGTGCACCTTCCCTTGTAAGGATGACACCAGAGCTCAGACTCCTACATGCAGCTCCTGGGCCTGCCCTTGCCTTCTTCGTGACTTTGAACAAGTCACTCACTGATCTTCCCTAAGCCCCACTTTTCCCCGTCTGCAAGAGGACACCGGGCCACCATCGGAGTCACAAGCTGGAGGGGCCTCAAGGAGCCACCTGTTGCAGCCTGCCCCGGACTCACCTGAATTGGCAAGGGCCAGGGCCTTCAGCAGCACATACTCCTCCCGCTCCAGCCTCAGGGCCTGGAGTCGCCTCACCAGCTGCAGCAGGGCGGCCCCGAGCTCCCCCAAGCCGGCCGCTCGTGCCCCCTCCTCGTCCAGGACCAAGTCCTCGGCGAAGGCCAGCTCGTCCTGCAGCGGCAGTGAGCGCTGGGCCACGCCCAGCACCAGGACCTCCATCCACACGCTCTGCAGCACTGACATCTGGTCAGACAGGGACAGTGACGAGAAGCCTGGAGGGTAGTGGGAAGCAGACCCGACTGAGCAAGTCCATCAGAGCTTGGCCACACGGGGAAGCCCCCATGTCACCCCGCCCCTTTACCTGGGATGCTCTTGGCCCAGCTGATGGTGACCACGATCTCTCGGTCAAAGAGGTCACAGAGGGTAGCCACGGCTGGCAGGTGTCCATCAGGGCCCGCCGGGTCAGGCATGGCATATAGCTTCTCAGGCTCAACCACCAGCAGGTGGGACACCAGGGCATTTACTGGGGCTGCAGTGACAGGTGGAAGAGGCACTCAAATTCCTCACCTGGCAGGTCCCTTCGGGGTCAAGCATCTTCCCGGAGTTCCTTCCCCGATGGCCTTCTGAAGAACCACTGGCTCCAGGAAGGACTCTCACTACTTCCCAGGGAAACCAAGTCCACGGACAAGTTCTGAGTGTGAGAAAAATCTTTCCCCACACCCAGCTGTGCTACTCGGGGGACTGATGAAAAAAAAAAAAAGTATTTTCAAAAATGCTCCTTCAGGGAACGGGGCGCCTGGGTGGCTTAGTCAGTTGAGCGTCTGACTTTCGCTTAGGTCATGGTCTCGCGGTTCGTGAGTTCGAGCCCCGCGTCGGGCTCTGTGCTGACTGCCGGCTCAGAGCCTGGAGCCTGTTTCAGTCTGTGACTCCCTCTCTCTCTGACCCTCCCCCTGCTCATGCTGTCTCGCTCTCTCTCTCCTAGAAATAAATAAAACATTTAAAAAAAAAAAATGCTCCTTCAGGGAAATGTGGACAGACGAAGGGAAGATTGGGGTCCCGGGGCCCAAGATTCGTAACTACTGTTCTGGGTGACTAGACACCTAATGGGCCTCTCGTGTGCCGGCCCCACCCCAACCCTAGAGAAAACCACCAGCTCTCACCGGTTTTCCGAGGGCCTCCAGCTACCGCCAGGGGTCCAGCAGGGAAGGAGCCCGGGAAGGGCAGTGGGTCCACCTCTGGCCGCCGCTTGTACTTCTGCCTCCCTCCCCGGACACGGTCCAGACGTACTCCTTGAATTGTAGGGACAGGGCCGTGTCCGCGGGGCCGGGGGTGACTTGCTCTACAGAGCCCGCCTGCCCAGCTGAGTCCGCCGGAACTTCCCAGGCCTTGCCTCTGCCCCGCCCCCCGCCGCGCGGGCCCCTGCCCAGTGCTCACCCTCCTTGAGCATGCCCACCCGCAGGCACTTGGTGAAGCGACAGGCCTGGCAGGCCTTGCGTCTCCGCTTGGTGATCTCGCACTCGTTGGAGGCCGGACAGCTGTACTCGATGCTCCCTGCCAGAAAGAGGCGGGGCTTGAGTGGCGGCCTCGCGGGGCCCAGAAGACAGGAGAGCCCCGGCTCACCCCCACAGGGGGTGAGAGAGAGCAGGGGTGCCAGGGGCGGGGCGGGGACCGGCCTCTGGACTGGGGGCTCCTGACACGGCAAGGGAAGCCTAGGACCGGGGCAGGGGAGTGGGGGGGCGAGTCAGGCTGATCTCCACCTCTTGTCAAGCCACATCTCTGGGCCCTCCTGCCCTCAGCTGCTCTCGTCAAGGGCCACAGCGGCCTCTGTGTTGCTGCGTCCCCATCCTGCTCGGCCTAGAAGACCGTCTCATGCCCGCGGATCACGTCCTGCTCCTACAAACACTTGAAGGCTCTTTGTCTTTTGCTTCTAGAACGCCACATTCCCGGTTTCCCTTCCTCCTCTTTGGCCACTCGGTGGCTTCCCCGCATCTGCCCCTACTCCTTCTGCTGGAGAACCCCAGGGCTGCCCTCGGACCCTGTGCCCCCGGCCCCAGACCCCATGGTGAGCTCACCAGTCGTGGGCCTTCAAATTTCCAGCTCCAGACCCGCGTGAACGCTAGACTCCTGCCCATCTCGCAGGTCTAGAAGGCGTTGCAGACTTGACCTGTCCTAAAAGGGGTCCGGGACCTATCACTCTCAAAACCTGCAGCTCCATCTGTCCGGGTCCTCAAGCGGAAATCCAGAGAACACCTTAGCTTCTCTCACACCCACACCCGCCCCGTCAACAGAGCCGGGCCAGCTTTACCGCCTAATACATCCGGAAGCCGACCCGTTCTGCCCCGGCACCCGCTTCCATCCTTGACCCGAGTTCCCATCACCCCCCCTCGCGCCGGTCTCCTCCTCTGTCCTTTTCTCCTTCAGTGGGCGTGAGGCCACCCCTTAAACTCAAGTCAGATCCTGTCCCTCCCTTGCCCAAAACCCCCCGATCATTTCCCTTCTCGGTTAAAGCCAACCTGAGGCTGACGACGCCTCCAGCTCCGCTCCTTTTTCACTTTTCTAACCTCATCTCCGTCGCCCTCTGCTCCGCCCCAGCCACCTCAGTGCTCCTCAAACAGGCCCCTGCCTCAGGGCACGCTGCTCCCTTACCTCCCTGAACTCTCCACTCCCTGTCACCCGAGGGAGGCCTTCCCTGGCCTCGCTCTGAGATGTCAGGTGCCCCCCTGCCTGACGGCTTCTGGGCTTCTGCCCCAACAACACATGAACTTATCTTCTCCATTATCTGTCTTCCCACTTCAGCGTCTGCTCCTTGATCGCCAGGACTGCCGGGCGCTACGAACAGGGCCTGACAACGGGCTGAATGATTGCACGGTGGCCCTCCCGGCCTCAACAGGGCTACCACAGGGACTGAATGACACAGCCAGCCAACGCGCCCTTGGCACGCACATTCCTTCCCACGGTGTGCTTTCTCCTATACCCTATATCCAGGCCTGCGCGCATAGCTCAAGACACCTCCTCAGGGAAGACCTCCGGGAGAGCCCCCAGCCCAGCCAGGTTCCTTGGCACACATCCTGCCCCCCCTCCCTGTCCAGCACTGACAACAGCTGTACTACCACACTTCTGTGCCATTCACCATTTTCTCGCTCCCCTCTGCTAGAATATAAATGGCTTAAGGACAGGGACGGTCCAGCTATGTCCCCACGCCTGCAACAGGGGTCAGGACAGCGAAGCACAGGTCCGCGACAAACAAGGGCTCTGGAGACAGCCTGGGCCCCATCCTGACACTACCATTTAACCAACTGTGTGGCCCCGGGCAAGTCCCGTACCTAAATCCTCAACCCCTCAGTTCTCCCTTCTGTAAAAGTGGGATAAAAAACAGTGCTTTCTACAAAGACAGCCAGTGAGAACTCAAGGGAGTATTGGGGTGACACACGCAGCACGGTTCGCAGTGCTCAAAAAATGCCCAATAAATGATTGCTATTGGGGGCGCCTGGGTGGCTCAGTCGGTTAAGCATCATGATATCATGGTTTGTGGGTGTGCGCCCCGTGTCAGGCTCCGTGCTGACAGCTCAGAGCCTGGAGCCTGCTCTGGATTCTGTGTCTCCCTCTCTCTCTGCCCCACCCCCACTCTCGGGCGTGCACACGTGTGTGTGTGTGTGCACACGCGCACATGCTCTCTTACAAAAATAAGCATTAAAAAATTTTTGTAATAATTGATTGCTATTTAAGGTTAGTGCTCAATAAAGATTTGTCGACGGAGTCAACAGAGAACACAAGGTTCCAGGCTGGGTACTTCACTGGCCTACAGAACCAGCAGAGAGCTCAAGGGCTTTAGAGCGGTGGGTCTTGGCCAAATCAAAGCCCACTGGAATGTCCCAATCGGTTGTGAGCCATCTGTCCGAAGTTCAGTTACAAGTAATAAGCAAAGGCGGCAGTCAGCTCTGAGCCTAACTCGGACCCAAGTGCGAATCCTGGGTCTGCCATTTTCTACCTGTGGGACTTGAACAAGGTTTAAAAAATCTCCCTGGGCCTCCGCCAGGGTCCCAGTGCTGGCACCTTCTGGGTTGCTGGGGGAGTCACAAATGGTACACGTGGAGGGCACAGGGCCTCGCTTAGGATAAGCACTCAAGAAACGTTCCCCGAAGCACACGTTATCGTGCCCAAGTCTCCAGCGATTTCTATAAAGGTGTAAGTAACAGGCGCATCTCAAGGAACGAATATTACATCTCCATCTTGCTCACTCGTGTTCTGCTATGTTTTCCGGAGTGAGAAACATTCAGTGAGTACTAGCAGCAGGCATGTTTTACCTATTGGTCTTTTTAAAGTCGGGCGCTAAACTATGACGTCGCCACTCTCAGTTACCCAGAAACACCTGCCCTGTACGGCTGCTGCTGTTTTGGGCAAATCCACCAAAAGGGGATGTGATATGCTGCTGAGCGGTGAGCAGCTGCCGGAAGCCAGAACAGCGTTTTGGAGCAGGCGGAGACCGCCTCAAGTTCTTCAGAGCCACCGGGGAAGGTGCTAGGCCTACAGTACCCGGAAGCCTAGAAGGCTTCCCGAGTCCTCCCTCTCCCACGCCCCACCTCCGGTCCATCAGCACATCCTGGGGGCTTTAACTTTTCAGCAAAATGGCATGCCCAGGAGGTCGGAGGAACCTCCTGGGAACCCCAAGCTGTACCGCAGTGGTCTGGGGGACCTACTGCCACCCACTGGGGGACGCTAGGCCCAGAGGGCAAGGGGTGCATGAGTGCGCTAGGGGCTCACCCTGGATGGTCCTCTTGAAGAAGGCTTTGCAGGCCTCGCAGGATGCCACGCCATAGTGGTAGCCGGAAGCCACATCCCCACAGACCAGGCAGAGGCGTTTGGGCAGGGAGCTGAGCACCAGCTTCCCACCACCCTGCTCACCAGGCCCAGCCCCCTCCCCCTCCTCCTCTTCCTTGTGGCCGGGGAGGCAGCGGGTGGGAGCTGGGCCAGGCGCCAGGGCCACTGGGGGCTCGGTCTCGGTCTCGGAGGAACCCTTTGGGCTGTCGGGGCTGGCTGGCTCTGCCTTGATGTAGAGTGGCTCAATGCCCACCACCTGGCTGGACATGGCGCTGGTCACCTGCAGGGAGAGACCTGTCAGCTCACAGGGAGACACTGGGATGGGGGATGGAGACACCATGCCACCCTGGTTACCCAACCCCCGGCCTGGAGCCAGGCTTCCTGGCTCACTGAGGGGGAGGGAAGGGGGGCAGAGTCCAAGGAAGGGGCTGCCCATGAAAAGCACCCCCCTCCAGCTGTTGCTATGGGAACAGAGTCTCCAGGGCCAGAAACTGTCAGCAAGGCCCCCCACTTGGGATCCTGGAGGAAGCCTGGAAACTCCCTACTCCCACCCGGGGCCGGGAAGCAGGGAGATCTCAGTCCCCAGGCAATCTTCGACCTCTTCTGGAATCCCCAGCCAGTAGCAGGATACCTCTCAATTCTCTCCAGATGTTGGGGACCTCGAAGATCTCCCCTCACCTGGGTTTCCTCCATGCAGAAGCACAAACCAGGCACACAAGGGCAGCTGATGTGCTCACAAGTGCAGGTTCAACACCCCCACTCACCTGGGTTCTAGCTATCCTCACGCGCTCACGCATGCCCACTCTCTGGCACTGGCATGCCTCACACACAGCCTTCCCCAAACCCCACCTCTCGCGTGTGCTTCCACTTGTCTTCACACACTCCCCCCGAAGTTCACAACCCATAAACAAAGTCACAGTCAAGGCTCACAATCACACACACTCACTCCCAAACACTCCCACTCACCATGCGCCCCACACTGACACACACTGACACAGACCCTTGTGGAAACGCACTCAGAGCCTTTCACACCTGACACACCGCCCCTCCTGCCCAAGCATGCCAATCCCGTGCCCACCGGCGGACGCGGCTCCACCTCCTTACACCCCACCCCACCCCCAACCCTCGCCAGCACATTCACTCTTACACTCCCGCTGCCGCAGAATCCTCCACCGCTGGGGCGCCCCGCCCCCCCAACCTGCGCACACCTACGGGAAGTTGCCTAAAGTTGCTTCGCCTCCCCTCCTCCTCCGCCCGCGGGGGACCTCTATCAGGTTATCAGGAAGTAAACGGGGAGCGCCCAGGAGGAGGAAGTTCTCCCCCGCCGGTACGATGACCTTTGACCCAGAGAGGAGGGTGGCCCAAGGCCCCTTTGAGCGCCCCCACGTGGTCTTCAAAGCCCCTTCTCCGACAGGGAAGCCTCCCTATCTTCCACCCCGGCCCGCCCCTGGGACTTCGACTTGCTCCAGGTGCCGGATTGAACCCTGCCCTGGGACTGGACCCGAGGCCCAAGTCTGACCCTGGCCAGGACCTGCAGCCCGAGCCAGAACCGGCCTCTTGTCCCAGGCCGACGCACTAAGACCTGAACGCCGAATCCCGCCCGAACCCTAACCCCGTCTGGCTCTCGACCCGGTCCCAACTGTGACCCGGGCTGGTCCTGGAGCCGGACCCGCCCGGAGCCCGCCCCCCCGCCCGCCTCCCGACCGCGCTCGCACATGGCCCCCGCGCCCCGCCCGTCCACCCCCCCAGCGGCGCTCCCCTCCGCCCCCGGACCTGGGGCTCCGGCAGGGCGGGCGGGCAGGCATGGGGGCCGAGCGGCCCGGAGCGCCGGGGTGAGCCTGGGGCCGCGAACGGCCCCTCCTCCGCCGCCTCCTCGGGCCGCACCGCCCCGCCGCGCCGCGTCCCCTCACTCGGCGGCGCCGCCGGCGGCTTGTAGGACACAAAAGGACATCGCGGCCGCTTCCTACTCTGCTTCCTCCAGCTGACAGCGGGGGTGGGGCCGTCCGTGCGCATGCAAAGCAGGGGGCGGGGCTCGGCGCCCTATGCTAATCAGACAAGTGGGGCAGGCAGCGCCTGCGTGCCCGGACCGGTCGAGGCGGAGCCGGCGCAGCCAGAGGGCGGGCCTTCGTGAAGGTCCCGCCCACCGCCACCGAGCCAGATTGGCGCACTTGTGGAGGCGGCCGCCAAGGGGCGGGCCAGAGGGGAGTTGGAGAGCTCCGGGAGGGGGTTGGAACCACGAGCGCTCTTACGTAACGAAGGAGGCGGGACGCGCTGTGCGCGAGAGGAGTGGGCGAGGTGGCTCAGGGGCCGCCGTTGCGGGGCAGGGAGAAGACTTACATATGTAAATAAGAGGGCGGGACCAGCAGAGAGGTTAGTGTAACTGCATATGCATGAAGGGCGGGGCCTAGCATGCCCATACTAGAGGGGAGGCGCTGCCCCTTTCCCTTCTCCCCCTTCCCCCAAGATTACTCCATCGGGGCACTCGAACCGCAGATCCAGTATCCCCACAACGCTGCTTGGACTCGGGGTGGGAGAAGCCGACATAAAACAAGCAAGAAGTCCTGGATTTCAAGTCCCGGGAAGGCGGAGCCAAGAGGGCCTGGACAGAAAACGCTCAAGGTCACTGCGGTGACCGAGTGAAGGTCACGGGGAAAGGCGGGGCCATGTGCGTCCGCCTCACGCGGGCAGCCACGCACTGACTCACCGACTGTGCACAGAGTCTTTTATTTCTTTAGGACTCAAATTCCACGTGGACTGGGTCAGGTTTGGGTCTGGGGACGGGACGAGGGCCCGGGGCTGGAGTCGGGCTGTCACTCGAGCCCGAGGCGATGCTCTCAGTACGCCAAGAGGTGCAGCCTCTTGCTCCGGCGCCTCTTGAGCACCTCGATGGATCGCTGCAGCTGCTTTGTCAGGAAGTGGTCCCGGCCTATAGCTGACCGGTAGCCTGGAGGGCAGAGCTCCGCTCAGGGCAATGAGCCAGGGGCATGGCCTCCCCAGCAGTGCGTGCTGCATGTGAGAACTGAGCAACCGCGGGTGATTTGGGGTGGCAGGAGCGCTTGGCGCTCGGATCTGTGTTAGTCTGGGAAACTTTGAATCCCCAAGGTGCTGGGCCCTGACGACTTTCTTTCAAAAGGTCAGGTCATACACTCGCAGTCCAGATGGAGGATGTGGAGGACGAGAGCGTTGAGGTGGAGGATGGATGAGAACACGGTTAGCCATGTTGCAGGCCTGAACTAGGACAGTGATAGTCTGCAGCTTTGTGGACCCCTGCTGGACCACCCACTCTAGGTGATTAGCCAGCACCCCTCCCTTATATCATAAGCAGGGCAACCAAGGGGGCATTTACCCAAGGAAACCACTGTTTAGAGGTTCCTCACGGCACCAAGGAAGGGGACCAAGGCCCCACAAAGATTGTCATCCCCATTGGGCAGGGGGATGGAAAAGCCACATTAGCTAGAAAGGAGCTGCCCTAAGGCTGGAGCCCAGGCCCCATGCTCTCCCCACTGGGTGTCCCTGTGCCCAGTCCCCCAACATTTCACTTTTGGTGGGGTTCCTGGAATATCTGTAACCGGTAAGGGAATCTGACAGGGCAGACACATCCCGAACCCCCACTCCCAGAGGCCCTGGGGCCCGAGCCCTGCAAAACCCCCCAGGGTCTCTTGTGGGGTCTAAGGGAGGGGCTCACTCCGGAGGGCCTTGGTGAGGATTTCCAGAGCTTCATTCTCCATGAGTTCTATCAGAGGCAGTGGCAGCTGGAGAGGCAGCAAAAGGTTCAGATGTCCAAGGGACCCCAGCCCTGCCCAGAGCTGAAATGCCCCACCTGCTCACTCTAGCCCCAAGACCCCCAACTAATGTGCCTGCCCCGCCACCCTACAAACCACCCTCATCCCTTTGCCTCTGCAACCCCCACTTGCCCATCCCCCACTCCACTAAAATCCCCCATCTCCCTGGGTGCTTCTAACCCTGTTCTGCTGCTCCACCCAGTAGGCTCGATGGGGTGTGTGCTTCGAGATATTGAGCGATGAGTCTGAGGAAGACATTTCTGGGAGAAGAGAAAAGAGAGATCAGTCATCTGCTGACTGCTGGTTCCTCCCGGGAGCAGAGGAAATGTATGGGGGCGGCGGAATAGGGGCGAGTGGCCTTCAGGGACCAGCCCCAGGTGCCATCTTATCGGAAAACAGTATGGGACGGTAGTTTACCACCCTGGACTTTGTGGTCTCCCTCACCAAGGTTCAGGTTCTGACTACCCCATTGTGTGAGGCTTAGGAGCAGTGACTGGAACTTTCTGACTCTCAAGTTCTTCATCTGTAAAATGGGGTAATAAGAATGGCCTCTTACGAAGGTTGTGAAGTTTAAGGGGATCGTGCAAAGGAAGTCCAGTGCCTGGCACACAGCAAGCACTCAATAAATGGCAGTTACTATATTGTTATCAGCTCCAGTTCCCTAATGAAGGGGCAGGGGTTGAGGGTGAGGGGGGCGGGGGCGGCAGGGGCAAGCTTCAAACAGTGCCCAGTAAGGAGTAGGTACTTAAAAATGGTCACCAATGACTGAGTGAATGAAAGATAGGCACCTCCTCAATGACAGCAAATCCATACGCAAGAAAATAACTCCCTCCTCTCAACTATCCCAGTGATTCCATTAAAAGCACGAGTGCTACCACGCTGCCTTTATGCCTTTTCACAGGTGTCTCTCTCTCGGACCTGGAGCGCCTTAACCACAGGACCTTGTATGACGCCTGCCCAGTAGGGGGCGCTCCAAGAATGGTGGATTTAAAGGGCGAAAGATGAGCGCTGGCGCCCCTCCCAGGAAGGGAATCCTGGAAACTTGGATCCTATAGCTTCCCACCCGTCTCCCCTCCACTTTACACCAACAGATATTGGGGTCCTGGCCACCCCCCTGCCCTGTGGATACCCACAGCCTGGTGAGGCCACACTGACCACTCTCGGTGTTGGAATCGACGTCTCCCTCCTCGAAATGGCTTCCCAGGGAGCTTCCCCGTTGTAGCTCCAGCTCCAACAAGGAGTGGTCGTCCAGCAACTCCTGCTTGAAACTGTCCTTGTCATCTCCGTCATCCCATGCTAACGAACCAGCGACAGAGTCGTGGCCGGCCTTCTGGTCGTAAAACTGGTGCTGAGTCCTGCTGCTCACGCTGCTGCCCTCCATGTCGGAGTCCTCGCAGACATTGGGCAGAGGCACATTCAGCTTCGACTGCGACAGCGTGGCCTTGGTCCACAGATTCCGGATGTCGTCGTCCGGGCTCGATATTTCTGAGCCATGGCTGTTCAAAGACGCCTGTGGGCCACATACAAGGAGGAAAGCCAAGGGCAGCGGGGAATGGGGTAGGAGAGGAAGAGCAGGCTGGGGGCAGGGATCCTGACCCCTACCGGGACAAGTCAGCTCAGGGCTGGGCTCAGGGCTCCTTGGGAGTCGCCCCGGGGCCAAGGTGAGGGAGAGCATAGCCAGGGGCCCAAGCTGGACTCAGTCTGGGGGCTCACAGGGTGAGAGGGCCCGGGAAGAGTTCTTACTCTGAAAGTCTTCTCCTCCATGGTTCTGCCCCAACGGACCCAATCGCCACAGGCCTCGGGGACAAGGAGAAGGGCGTCACGCTCCAGGAGCGGCGAGGGGCAGGATCGCGTTCCGGAAGGCGCTGCGGGTCTCGCGAGGGAGAGTTCAATCTACACCCCCCCCCACACTAGATGCCATTATCTCTTCCCCATCCCCCCACCCCCACCCCCATATCTGTATTGAGCTTAGAGACGCACAGACCACCTTGGTACATTCCTGTTCCGGACCCTTCCCGGTAGCCTCCCGGCAGAGATACGGGCCCAGGCGTGGCCCTTTCGGGTGCACGCTTCGGGCGGGGGAGGGGAGGCGCGGCCTGGGGGTCACCTGTAGGCCTAGCTTGCCCCGGAGGTGGCCCGACGCAAGCGCTCCCACACCCACTCGCGTCCCCGGAGCGCGCACGCCCGCAGCGGTGCAAACTGTTTTCGTTTATTGATGCAGGCTTTGAGGCACAGTCGTGAGGTGTTGTGAGGGACGGGCCCAGCCGGGACAGGGAGACAGAAAGCCTTGGGGGGGTCTGCAAATGGATGAGGTGAGGAGGGGGCCAGGAGCGGGGCGGGGGTGGGGGGAGGGTGGCAGACAGGCAACCCGTAGCTTCCTCCCCAGACCTCAGTCCGGTCGAAAGAGGCCTCTTTGGTCAAACAAGCAGAGCATGCCGGGGAGAGCGAGAACGAAGCCCTTTGAGAGGCCCAGGCGGGGGTCCTGCCCCTACACCGGCACGCCTTTTTCCCGGGGACGCCCTGGGCCCCGCGGCCGCACCGGCTTCCGGGGAGGGTTAGGGGGGCGACGGCGACCCCGTGGCGCGCGGGGCAGCGCGCAGCCACGCTCGCTCTGGGTGTCAGAGGACTCGTCGATGAAGGCCAGGTTCTCGCTGGGGTAATCCAGCGCGGAGGCCGTGGGCGGGGTGGGCGGGGACGGCGGCTCGGCCTTCGCGGGGAGCGCAGGGGACAGGGGCCCGCCGGCGGGCTGCGCTGGGCACGGCGGTGGAGGCAGGAGTGGCCGCTCCTTCTCCAGTGGCGGTGGTGCCGTGGGCCCGACTCTCTGGGTCACCCGCGCCGTCACGGTGCCCGTCCAGCTAGCGGCCTGCGCCGTGAGGCCGCCCATCTGCGCGGGGAGTAAAGGGAGTCCTCGACCGCGGGTCCCCTTACAGCCTCATCCACCCGGGAATCTGACCCTTCGCTAAGCAGGCGCTGTCCCTCTTTTCCTCCTGGTCCTTCTGCCTCAGCACTCTCGAGCGAGCGAGAGAGAAGGCTCATCACCCAGCTACACACTCTCCTCTCTACCATCCCAACCTCAGAGCCTTCTTCTAGAAAGCCCCAGCTTTATTTCAGCCATCCTTCCGGTGCCCCCTCCCCCCAGACCTTTGCGCCTCTCTATCCAGCTCCTCCGCGGGCTCACCCAGTAGGGTGACATAATACAGGTCGCCCAGTTAAATATGAATTTCAGATAAACGGCAACTTAAATGTTGGTATATGTCTATCCCTCCCTTGCGACACGGGGGACATACCCACACTAAGCTATTATTTGTTATTTCTCTGAAGTGTACATTTAACTGGGCTTCCTGCTTTTTGTTTTGTTTTGTTTCTAAGCCTGGCAACCCTATCCATGAGAGCAGAGATGGAATCATCAACAAATCGGTCCAAATGTAACCCTCTGCCCCTGGGCCGGGTGCACTTTGGGGCGCTCTCGGTCCCTGCCTTGAGAAGCCCGCACTCTGGAAGAGAGGGAAGCCGACTGGTCCGCCTGCTGCTAGGATACAGCGCGTCAGCGCCACGGCGCAAGCGGCGCAAGCGCAGCGCCGACCCAGGGGCGCGCCTACCTCAGCCCGAGTGCGCCGGGACACTACTCGAAGCCAGTTCCCGATGGTGGTGAGTACTGAAGCGAAGTAGGCCAGGCCGAGCAGGATCCAGAACCACACCAGCGGCTGGTAGGCTGCAGAGTTCTGGTTGGGGCTGGCGCCTGGGATACCACCGGGGAGGCCAGAAAGATGTCGATTGTGGGGCCAGCGTTCAGCCTGTGAGCCGCTGGCTCACTGCTCCTCTTCCTAACTCGGGGAGAGGATCCGCCCTCCCCAGGGCAATGCGCATGTGCCAGAGTGTGTGAATGCATGCAAGATGCCCGTCCATGACTTGAAGGTGTGCAAGGTAAGACGATGAAAGCGAGTGTGCCCCCGTGCAAAAGTGTAAGCATATGTGAGAGGTGCACGTGTATAATAAAAAATGTGACGCGTGTGAGAGGGGTTTGCTTAATACATGTGGGAGCACGCATGGGGTGCAGGCATGCAAGAATGTAAGGGTCTACGAGGTGTTGCATCCGTGCAAAGATGTGAAGGGACATTCCGTGAGCGCGTGTAGGGATTGGAGGAAGAGCCTATGGGTTCACAGACGCCACATGGAATTTGGAGGGAGAGGGTTCAGGGCCCCGGGCATGAATAAAGTGGCTAGGGAAGTGCAGCGCGAGAAAGGTGGCCTCACCGGCCACATAGTCCCCGAAGCCCACCGTGGTGAGCGTCACGACGACGAAGTAGATGGCCTCCAGCTTGCTCCAGCCCTCCACGTAGCAGAAGACGAACGTGGGCGTGAGGACAAAGAGCAGGCAGCCAATCAAGAGGAAGAGCACCGCCGACAGTATTCGCACCAGCTCTGGTGGCACGTGCCACTTCTGCAGGGAGGAGCAACCGGGCCGAGAGCCAAGAAGTCGCCCAAATCTCCGCTCACGCCCTCCCGCTCCCGCTTCTCCGCGAGCCTGCGCGCGAGGCTCTCGCGATCTAGACGCCCGCGCTCCCAGTGCCGGGGTGGGGGTGGGGGTGCGTAGGGAAGGGGAACCCCCAGCTTAGCGCAAGGGCGCGCAGGGCGAGGAGCAGCTCACCAGGAAGATGGCTTCGATGTGACCGATGCCGCGGCGCAGAGAGGAGCCCAGCCGGTCCCCGACCCCGGCCAGCAGGATCCCGAACAGCGGGATCCCCACCAGCGCGTAAAAGATGCAGAAGAGGCGCCCGGCATCGGTGCGCAGGGCCGCGTTGCCGTAGCCTGGGCAGAGGGACCGTGCAGGAGGTCTGGGGGCTGCCTGGCACCCACCTTCCTCCCTCTGCACTTTCCCCCTCGAGAAAGCCCAGTGGCCCCTTGCCCCACCCCCCACCCCCATCCACACGCCCGGTCCCCTCCCCCACCGATGGTGGTGATGATGGTGCCTGAGAAAAAGAAGGCGCTGCCCAGGTCCCAGGCTGAGTGGTTGCTGTTACTGGTTGAGTTGGTGTCAGGGTCCGCACCCCCTCCCAGGGCATCAGCCACGTCCTGCAGGACAAGGCGCAGAAGGAGGAACCTCAGTCTTTCCCTACCGTCCTGGCCAACCCTCCGGCCCTCCAGTCTCCAAAGTGGTTTCCTCCCTGCTCCTCCCAGCTCTCCCCTCCCCCCGGTCTTCCTGAGGCCAGTAGATGCCGCAGGTTGGGCGGCCCAATTTTGTTTGGCCTCCACCTTGTTCTCGAAACATTTTAGTTACCTGTCCCTTAATTTCACACAAAAGATGGCAAGTTTACAGCGGTCAGGAGCACAGACCCGGACCACACTGCCTGGGTTTAAATCTTGACCACAGGCAAGTTAACTCCCTGGTGCTATTTCTGCCCCTAAAATGTGGGCGACGATAATGATAATAGCACCTACCGCAGAGGGTTGGGAAGAGTTTATGCACTTAGAACACATTAAGCCCTGTGTTAACCTAGTCCCCAGTAGTGATCATGCCCCAGTGATGTCCAGCTTTCCACGCAGCCCACCGCTCCCATCGCTGCTATGGAAGCTGAGTTTGAGTTCCTTGCCTTAGAAAATCTGCTGGAAGTTAGGGACCGGAAGGGTCGTATGCCATCAGTTTCGGGTATTTGAAGGTTCATGGAAACACAAACTGCCACCCAGCCTGCTGAAGCCCAAGCCTAACCCTGTGCTATCTAGTTGGTGCTCAGTAGATAGGATTAAATTAATGAAGTGGCCATGTGTCTGCGCTGCTTGCCACCTTCACTTGTAGGCCCCTCCCAGGCAGAGTCCGGGTTTTGAGAGTTTCTGCCTTAAGTGACAGAGAAACTCTTCCCCAAGGAGCACAGGGCCCAGGCACCAAAGTAGACAAGATCATAAAGCACCTTCTTCCCCTCTGACTGCAATCCTCATTAGCAAGACCCGTTCCAAATTAATCTTCCTATGGCCACGGATGGGGCCCCAAATCCTCCGTAGCTTCCTGCCGTCTTAGCATAGAATCCAAACTCCCAGCCCAGCATTTAAGCCTCTGTTCCCAACCTCCTCTCTCCCAGTCTTCTCTCCTGGGGCTCCCGTTTGGAACCCAAGCCGCAGTGACTTTACCCCCCAGATTTTGAGATGCTCCCATTTCCTGTCATAATCATTTTTAAATGAAGCCAAGAAGTGAAATGTATGATTAAAGTGATTTAATTTTTATTTTGCAAGACTTTTCCAATAAATTCACTACTTAGGGGGAAGAAAATCCTTTGTCATCCTGTGTGTTCTAATTTTTGCTTCAAATGACTAGGCATCTGCTAAATCCGAGTTCTGCAAAAACACTTTGAGCTTTCCAGCTTCCACGCCTTTGCTTCCTCTGCTGGGAGGTCTCTGGCAACCCAATCACACACCTCTGAATTCTACACCTCTCGCCTGCCTCATGTCCAAAGGCCGCTCACTTCTCCCTCAAAGCCCCCAGCACCTAGCCCAGGGCCCAGCACACAACAGGTGTTTAACAAGGAAGGAGGCAAGGGAAGTTCCCTTTCCACTGAATCCTACAGTAATCTGTCCCTGGGTCTGTCCCCTCATCCCAAAGTGACATCCTCTACGGTAGAGCCTGCATCTATATCTGTCCCCCCCCCCCATCCATTTCCCTGCTCCCCCTGTGGTGTATAGCATAGCGCCTAGCACACAGTAGGTGCATAGCTGCTGCCTGCCTGACTCATTGTGGAAGAGAAAGCAGCTGTCACCCACACTTCTAATTTCTGCCCTTCCTTTTCTTCTTTTTTTATTCAGGGAAAAACCATTTCCACAGCAAAGATAAAATAGGTCAGATTCCCTCCCTCCCTTCCTCTGCCCTGTGGTCTGACCAGGCACATCCATCTGCCCGGGCCTCTCTGAGCCTTGCTCGGCATTCTGAAGTGTCAGAGAGGCGTCAAGCTGCCTGTGTCCTGGCCCCACCCAGCCCTCATCTCTGCTCCTGGTCCTGCTGCCTTGGGAATCAGCTGGAATACTGAGGCCTCCCTGCCGATGCCTCCTCCCTCTGAAAGAATGGGGGGGGCGCCTGGGTGGCTTAGTCGGTTAAGCATCCGACTTGTCATGATCTCGCGGTTCATGGGTTCGAGCCCCGCATCGGTCTCTGTGCTGACTGCCAGCTCAGAACCTGGAGCCTGTTTCAGTCTGTGACTCCCTCTCTCTCTGACCCTCCCCTGCTCACGCTGTCTCTCTCTCTCTCTCCTAGAAATAAATAAAACATTAAAAAAAAAAAAAAAAAAGAATGGTCGGGGAAAGAGGGGGACTCTTCAATAAAGTAATAAACAGTAATTTATTAAAGTCAAACCTTGGGGTTTTTACATGATAGTCACGCGCAACAAAGGTGCCTGCCTGACAGTACCCCAGAAGGCTGAAGCCCGGTACTTTTAGTCACTTAACCAACGCTGCCCCCAGCCCTGACTTGCTCTTCCTCCAGCCTTCTCATCATAAGCACGCAGGTGCGCTGGGGTGAAAGGGTGCTTAATCTGGCATCCCTGGTGGCAAGCTTAGGGGACCCCAGAACCCTCTGGAATCACCTGGGTGTGTTTATATGTGCATTTCCCCCGGGGCTATATAAGGGGGGCGTTCAGTGTTCTTGGGCGTCTGTGACTCCGAAAAAGTAGAGAAACCAGTGTAGGGTTGCCAGGTTTAGTAGACAAAAATACTGCACGGGGCACATTTATTTTTAAACACTATTCGCCGCTTAGCGGCTTAACATTCACAATTATCCAGGCGCCCTGGATGCCATCTTGAACCCCTGGGCCGGTGAGGTAGGCCTGTGAAAATGTAACGTATCTCCCGTGCTCCAGCCATTTATTCATTTCTTCCTTCACTCCTTCACTCAACCACCATCACACTGAAGAAGGCAGTCAGTCCGGGAGCTCAGTCCAATGCCAGGGACGGCGAGGCAAACACATGCCCCCGTGGCCGCCATATTGAAAACCCAGTGACCCGGATCCCAGCCTCTGCAACGCGCCCCTCAGCAGCACCCTGCTGGGGGGCGGGGGGTGGGGTGCCAGTCTGGAAGCAGCAGCCCAGCACGGGGCCCCACTGGTATGCAGCTAGTTTGGGGGGTGGGGGTCAAAGGTGACTGCTGAAGGGGTTCCTGCCCACCCACGCACCTTGATGAAGCGCCCCAGGTCCTGGTCGCTCACACATGGATGGGCCCTCAGGAACTTCTCTCGGACCTCCCCCAGCTCCCTCTGCGCCTGCTGCTCGTGGGGCTGCTCCAGGGCCTGGAACACCAGGGCACCGGACACCAAGTAGAGCAGGACCAAGGCCAGCAACGCCAGGAGGGTGGTGCTGCGCATGGCGCGCCCAGGGGCCCGGCCGACGCCACTGCCCGCCTGGGGAGGCCGGGCAGGGGGCTCCTGGGGAGCTGTGGTCACTGTGGGTAGAACCAGGGACGCTGGGGTCAATAACCTGGCCTGCCACCCCACGCCCTCCCCTTCCAACCCCCACACACCCAAAGGTCCTTGGAGTCCCCAGTCGTACTGCCCCATCCGTGTCCTATCTTCACATCCCTCCGCCCGGACACTCGGGACCGGGGCACACCCAGTCCTCCCACCGCCGTCCTCCCCCTTACCTCCGGTGCCCGGCCCTCAGCCCCCGTCCGGGGACTCCAGGACATGAGAAAAGAAGAGGGCGCCGGGAAAGGAAAGGAAGGAGTGTGGAAGGGGGAAAGAGAGACTGAGCCTGACGAGAGACAGGCTGGGCGAGCGAGAAAACACTGGGGGCCTGGAGGGGGCGTGAGGAACCGGCTGCAGCGCAGGAGGCTGAGGGGGCGCGGGGGCGCGCGAAGGGAAAGCTGGAGAGGCCGGACCGCGCAGGGCGGGGACGCGGATGGCGGGTCCCGGCTCCTCCGCTGCGGCTGCGGCAGCATCTTCGCGCTTCTCTCCCTTCCTCCCGCCTCCCGCCTCCCGCCGCTCCGCGGCGACCCGCCAGGGGCCAGGCGGGTAGCCTCCAGGGTCTCCCCGCGCCCCGCCGGGCTTTCGAGGAACCCAGGGGCGGGTCCCGGTCGCTGCGCAGAGGTGAGGCAGGGCGGGGGGGGGGGAGGGAGGGTGCTCGGTTCCGGGAAAGAACGGGGCGGAAGCGATAAGGGCCGAACCCGGGCAGCATCCTCCGGGACAGCTGTCAGCCCCCGGGACAGCGGGTGGCGGCGCCCACGCGCACACACGCGGGCACAAAGACCCGCACGCCCACGCTCCTCCCTGCGGCTCCAGCCCGCCCGGCCGCCCGGGCTGCACGCACACACTCCACCTGCACACTCCCCAGACTCACGGGACCCCCAGGGGCGTGCGCGCCAGGCCGAGGCACCCCAGAGGTCCACGCGCACGTGTGCACACACTCCCCTGCACACACCCAGGCCGTCGGGCCACCGCGCCGCGCTCGCCGCCCAGACACACTGCACACCCGCGGTTCGCTCCCACCGCCTGCCGAGTCTTCCACGCTGACGCCTCGGAGCGTGCGGGCGGCAGGACGCGCGGCCGCACGACTCCCGGAGGCGCCCACGCGCGGGAGGTGCGCGCCCCGCCCGGCCGATCCCTCCCTCCCCCACCCTACGCACCCCTGCCCGGGAGTCCCGCCCGCGCCCCCGCTAGCGTCCCGCACCCCCCTCTCGCGCCAGCCCCGCACTCACTGTCGGCCCCGCTGCGGCTGCGGCTGCGGCTGCGGCTGCGGCTGCGGCCCGGGCTCCCGCGCGGCCTCGCCGGTGCCGGCTGGGCCGCGGAGGCGGCGGCGGCGGCAGGGGCGGAGCGGGCGGCCGCCGGGGCTGGGACCCCCCCCTCCCGCCGCCAGAAGCCCCCCTCCTTCCAAGTTTAACCCCTCCAGCGCCGCGCCTCCCTCCGTGCCGCGCCCTCGCCGCCGGCGCCGGGCCCTGCCGCCCCTTACCTGAGGCCGCCCAGCCCCCCAAGTCCGGCGGTTCTCGGCAGGTGAAGGGCGGAGGAGCCCGAGAGGGGCCGTCGCTGGGTCCGGCTTGGAGTCTCAGACTGGAGTCCTGGTACTGCCCCGCCGGCCATCCAGTGTGGCCAGCGGCACGGCCCCAGCTTGGACATCTGCCGGCTCACCTCTCCGGACAGGCGCCACGCTAACCTCCCAGCATCTCCCAGCCCCATTACGGCCCTCAACTCCCCGCCCCTGGGGACTGCCTGGCCCTTGGGCTCAGCAATCCTGAGGGAGGCGGCCCCGCGGGACAAAGGGGTGGGCGATCCACTGAAACAACCTGGAATTGGCTGAGGGAGGGCTGGCACCCGGTTCTGGAAAGTCATGCCGGGGCACCTCCTGCCCCGTCCCCTGGTCCTCACCTCCATGGCCATCCCAGCATGGGACTGGTGCCGGCACCCCCCACCCCTACCCCGCCTCACTGCCTGAACAGCCAGGGCTCCGGCAGGCCTTGGAACTACTCGCCTCTCTGTTCTCACCCACTTCTTTACAACCCCTATCTCTCCAAAAATCCTCTAGGCTGGGGTCTTCAGCCCTCACAGTGGGTGGTTTGAAGCCTGGGCTCTAAGGCTGACCACCCCCTGCCAGTAGAGGGCGTAGCGGGTTACCGCGCTCTCAGGAGCTTCCCAGTCTCCGTTTACGGAAAAGGGGATGATTAATTACCACCTCAGAGTGATGTTCTGAGCATTAAAGGTCAGTATTTGTAAATGCTCAAAACCGAGGCCAGCACACACAATAAAGTGCCCTACAAATGCTAGTTTCCTTTCAACAAAAAGTCACTGTTCCGCCTCAAGCTGATTGAGTCTCAGTTATCTTCTCTGGAGGCCCTGAAGGCCTGATGCCCAGGATAATCCCAAGAGTTTCCAGACAGGATCAGTACTAGGCCCCAGGAACGACGAGGAGGTGTGATGACCAGGTATGTGGACAGGGGCAAGGTCCTCTGACAAATGACTCCCAGCCATGGGGCAGATGACAGATCTGTCAAGACTATGGCAGGAGAAGACAGTGACCATGACATTAGGGGCAGCCAGGCAGGGCCACCAGGCAGACTCTGCAGGGGCAGCCCAACTATCTGGCCAATTCTACACCTGGTAGGGAAGTGGGGGCTCCTCAGTCACAGGCCAAGTGCACCACGGCCCTGGACTAGCCCCTGGCCCTGAATGCCAGCCAGGTTGGGCAGGATGACAGGGAAAGAAAACAACAAAATTGTTTCCGGAAATCCCAATCCAGCGAAGGTAACTGGCATTAACAGACATGCAATTGTGGTGTCGCAGACCCCAGGAGGGGGGAAACGGCTCCCTGGCCTGGAGATGAAAGGCTTCATAAACGAGATGAGGTTTGAAGCAGGTTTTGAGGAAAGAGTAGAAATTGTTCAAGTGAGGAGACTGGAGAGGAACAGGCTTTTCTGGCCCCCTTTCCCCTTGGACTGTAGGCCTCTGCCTCTCCCCGCCCACCAGCCTGTAGGGTAAGTGACCCCTGCTCGGCCCAAGTCTGATCAGCCTTCAGCTGAGGACGCGACGGTGCGAGGAACATAGAGCAGACAAGTGATAGACCGTGAACGGATGAGGGGCACAGACACTGTTTATTGAGTGTTAGGTGCAGAGGAGGTAGCTGGCTCCAGTGTAGAAGCAAGGCGGCAGGTCACGCCAAGGTGCATCTGGCAGCCAGGGCCATGCCCCCCATCCTAGGGGACAGCACAAGCTCACTACGACAAAAGTAGCAAGGAGCTGGCCAGGGGGAAGAGGCGGCCACAGCCTCCCACGATCCTGGGCAAGATAGCGGCAGGTGAACTTGGCACAGGGCGGGGGTGGGGGAGACCTGGGATGGGAGGACTGGGGTCTAGGTGTCCTAGGGGGAGGGCAGAAGGGGATCACGTCTGTGGGGTGGAGTAGAGACTGTGGTGGTGGCCACCTGGTCCCAGCACCTGGGAGAAGAGCAGAGGAGTGGTCCGCGTCTGGCTGCCCCCGCACCAGGCTGGCTCCCGCCCGATGGCGCCATACCAGCTGCCGGAGCCTAGGCTGCCTGACATGCTGTAGGCAGAAAAGCAAGGGTCGGTCCCCAGGCAGTGACCGGGGCCGCATTCACAACAGCTGGGGGAGGGAGAGAGGGCCCGGTGCCCCAGCTTTCCAGCACCCAGGGCTTGCACCCTCTGGACCGTGGCAGGCTGCATCTTGGAATGGGGAGATGGGAACCAGAGGGGACCTTACCTAGTACAGACAGGAAATGGGGGCCATGGCCGGGGTGGGGTCAAGAGGAAAGTGGCAAGACCAGGCTCGAGGTCCCCATGGCTCAATGGGGCAAGCTGGGAGCCCAGAGGATGTGAGGCGGCCCCGGGGGCTCCTACCTGGTGCTCTCGCTCCGGCCACGCTCCCAGGAGCAGCCCTCGTCCTCGCAGTGCCCAGCCCGGTCGAAGAAGTAGGAACGGGAGCCAAAGACCTGCCCATTGAGGATGCGGCTGGTGCTCTGGGGGAGGAAGCCGCCATCATGCTTTCTCCTGCCCGCCCCAGCTGGCTTCCCACGGCCCGGCCAGACTCCAGCCCAGGGATTCCCAGCACCCACCCCTCACCACCGGCCCTCACCAGGTCCTGCGGGGGCCGGTGCACCCGGAAGAAGCCCACCAGCAGGGTGGTGGGCAGCAGCTCCCACACAAAGAGGATGAGGCCAAACACCAGGTAGCCTTTGTTCCCCAGGTCATTCACCAGGTCCGCCTAGGAAGGCACGGAGTGGTGTCAATCCGCGGTCGTGCTGGCAGCGGGGGCCGGGGGGGGGGGGGGGGGGGGGGGGGGAGGGAGGGGGCACCCAGACAGAGCTGAACCCAATGGGGGGGTGCCAAAAGCCATGGCTGCTGAGGAGGCGGCAGACGTGCTGAACGCCCACCTGGTCAGAGACATTGTACCAGTCATAATCGAAGGCATCCAGCCGGCTCCGGGGGGCCAAGGCCAGGGCTGCCAGGTTGTAGCAGGCCCGGCTGGCATACAGTAGGACCATGGCGCCACCCATCGCAGCCGCCTGGCACACACTGGTCCCCTGGCAGAGATGACGAGAGGAGACTCTCAGGGAAGGGAGGCTCCAGCTTCCTCCCCACCCTGAGAACCACTGCAGGAATACCCTTAAGGGCACCCGGGTATCAGGGCTTGTGGCCCTACCTTGGCCTCCAGGTAGATGCTGGTGGAGGGCGCCCGCCGGGCGACAAGGCAGAGGCAGGCAGCAAGAGACAGCGCGCAGATGACAAAGAGGGAGTCGCTCACCAGGACTCGCACCAGCAGGAGGGCCCAGGGCTGTGCCCGGCGCCGGCGGGACAGCACGGCACACAGCACGTTCACCAGCAGAAAGAGCAGCGAGGCCCCCACGAAGGCCCCTCGGACAGCCAGCCTGCAGCCCCGTAGCACAGTCAGCCCCAGACCACCATCCCTAGCGCCCGCTGACCACCCAAACTCCCGCAGG